CTCCTATCACTCTTCTGATCTTAGCTCTTCCAAAATGGTCCACTTTACAAAATTCACAAAATCCTTTTATTTCTCTGATTCTCCAAGATACAGTTAGCCTGAACCTACAAATCGGCCCTTGAATTTCGTAGAATGTTTTTGGTCTATTTGCTGAAATTAGAAGACATTTTTCAAGTACAATTTCTGTTTCTCTCACCAAATTCAGTGTTTCTGGGTTTCAAATTGGGTAGGTCAAAGGACACTCCTTGATCTCTAATGGTGTAATGCAAGACACATTTCAAGTACAGGGGTGACTGTGAATTAAATCTAATCAAATGAATGTCATAGAAGATTTACAAATATGACACCTCTTCCTAATATTGTACTAATAATGAGGAGAAAAATTGGGGTTCTTTTGAATTTCTCAATGCAGTCAGCATTGAATGAGGCACAGACCATAGATATGTAGTTTCTACCAGAATCAACTAGGACCTACCAGTGTCATTTTTGTGTATCTAAACCTCAGTGTCTTAAACATATTCTGTGTAATCTCATGGTCTCTTAAGGTAGGCAGTATTAACACCGCTTCACACAGGAAGAATCTCTCAAAGAAGTTATGTAATTTAACAAGTTTACTCTGTGGACACCAGTAAGTGGCAGGGCTGGCGTTTCTAGTCAGATGCAACTGCCAAAGTTTTCCACTAGTTCTTACTTATTACGGCACACATACGAGGGAGCCGGTACTTGTGACATCATCTCTGATTATTTGCAGATGGCACTCTAAAGAAGAGTATAGTGCTTATGTACACATGGTGTTTGATATTAGTTTTCTATTGAGATTTAAGAAACTTATCTCTCAGATATTTGAGGTTGGGTGTATGATACATGTTCTCTACAACATTTGCTGAAAAGTGTTCTAATTCTACCTTTTCCTATATATGGCCTCCCTAAAGTTTAGGAATAAAAATCAGCCAATCAGCCTGAAAAATAGGCAACAGGTAAGATTTAACTGTACAGGAAACTTGGCTTTTAACAGGTGCCCTTCCAGGCCCTTGTTCACACACAGGGTCATTAAGAAGCACATCCTCTTTCATATGCACAGGACTTTACCTACAAGGACCCATTAGTGCTAATGGGTCATTTTCTTTCCATCTGAGGATCAAAAGGAGAAGCTGCATCTTTGATGAGGTAGTAATGGTACCTAGGGCTGAGACCACTTAAGTTTCCTTTGTTCTCTTGCATGGCAGCCCACCAAGGGACCCTAGACCACTCTCTTGCTATATGAAGAGCTCATTAAACATCACTAAATGGGGGTGGCAGGAGGGAGTGGAGGAGGTGCAGCTTCAGTAATGAAAGTGGGAATGAGCCCTGAGGTTGTAAATTCAGACTCACTCGCCCACCTTGGTCTGTTTGAGGTTCGTATAATTTCCTGCATTCCTTATGTGATATGTTCTGCTCTTTAGTAACCCAGGGGAAAGAATGCTACTTCTCTTTCATAAGCAAGAAAAAGTCAGGCAGATAAGTTTACTAGTTAGAAAACAGAGACTGTGATAAGTAGAACGGAGAAGGAATTACCTCTCTGCCCTCCCTTGCCATTCTATTTCTCTTGATTTTCTTTTTCCTACTGTGTCCTCAGTGGCTAATACAATGGCTAATAATACTTGGGTAAGCTTTGTTTGTAAGCACTCTGTTAGATTCTAAAACAAATGCTCAGACTGTCTCCTCCAGGAAACAGGAATAAGAAAGAAACTGGCTCAGTATTCCATACATAATTTTCAGTCTTAAGTTCTGTACCTAAAAAGCAGAGCTGAGAATTCTCCATTTGGTCTGCCACCATTATTAAACTCTATGTCTTTAGCCTGGATGAGAGCCAAAATATTCTAAAGAATTTAATTGAGCAAATGAGTGTAAGAAGCACATCCTTTATCCTTGCGTCATGTTAAAGTATAAATCTGGGGCCAGAGAGATGGCTCAGCAGTTAAGAGCACATGATGACTAACAATCATTCGCAACTCCAAGTCCAGGGAATCTACCACCCTCTTCTGACCTCCACGGACATTACACTACATGGGTACACTTACATACATGAAGGCAATGCACTCATACACATTAAATAAAAGCAATGAGCAAAATATTTTTAAAAATAAACTATAAATCTAACCAATATTCTCCAAAGACAAGAATGTAGCTTCCTATTTTTCTATCACTCACCTTGATTTCTGTTTTGAGCTGTGATTCTTTGAGTTAGAGAAAAAGAAAATTTCAGCAATTCAGGTTCCTTTCTCTCCCTGAAGTTATGTCTAAATTATTTGGGATGTCCATCAGAAACTTCCACTGTACAGATCTTTTGGTGAGGAAAGGGTTAAAGAGAAGCCTGGTAGTTGGTCTCAAATATTCTGTGCTTACCACCCAGGTATGCACCGCGCTGCCGCCCAGGGTCTTTGTTCTTGAAGATATGACCTGGTCAGGTCTCACTGTTTCTGCTATTTCTGGGTCTTTGAGAAATTGTTATATTGTTCCCACAAGGCAATGGAAAATGGAAGCTTCTGTGAGACTGTCTAAACTCCCAGCATGTCTAAATCTGTCATGCAAGCGTTCTTCCCCAAGGACTGCACCACTGCCTCTGAGTTCTCCGGAAGAAAAGCCCCCAGTTCTAAGAAGGGTTCTCCTAAATCTACCTTCAGTGCTGATATCCAGCAGGGGTCAGCTCCTAAATTAGAAACCTGTGCCCTCTTTTCCGCATTCACCAATAGCTGTGCTCACATGATTATGCTCCTGCAATTCTTCTGCTTTCCCAGACACGGTGTAAGAAACTTCTAGTCTCCTTATGTAAATGACTGCTTATTCTATCCCATTCCTAGAAGAATCTAGGTTTGGGAAACTCAAATAAAGAAAACGAATTTTATGTCTTTGATGTATGTCATGTCCTCTCAGAGGCAAATAAAACATAATGGCTTGAAATTTAAGGATGAGAAAAGATAAAGGGGAGAATGGGACTGTGGAGGAAAATGACCACATGGTGTTACAGAAAATGGTGCCCTCTCTAAGATCACAACCAAGCTATCCTTGAATATTAAGGATAGAGATTTAGTCAAAATCATTTAAGACAGGGCTGGAGAGATGGCTCAATGGTTAAGAGCACTGGCTGTTCTTGCAAAAGACATGGGTTCAAATGCCAACACCCACATGGTGGCCAACAACTGTCTAGAACTTCAGTTCCAGGAGGTCCAACACCCCCTTTTGTCCTCAGTGGGCACCGCAGGACACGGGTGCACTTACACACAGGCAGACAATACACTCATACACATAAAATAAAAATAAATAGTAATATATTTAAAAAGAAATGCCATGTTGAAGCTTACTGTTTCACAACCCAACTTAAAAGTAAGTGGAGAGATAGCAGAATGCATGTGAAAAGAAAGAACTGTGGCTCTACTGAATGTTAAAGAATTAAGAGGGATCTGGGCAGGGGATGGGGAAGAAGATGGGTAGTGGATGGGTAAACCAAAGTGAAGGATAGATAAATAAGTCTAAATGAAGCAACAAAATCTTTTTAATCATTTAAGAGGTAGGGGACACAAACACATCCAGTACTTTCTGAACAAATTACAAAGGAAATGTGGTATGAGATTATTTTGCAAATAGCTTGAACTAGTAGAGTAAGAGGTCAGGTTTCAGTTTTTGAGGCTACATGTTATTGATAAAGTTAGGCAATGTCTTTTTCAATATCCTCACCAATATAATTCAGAGGAATCATACTTTGGGTCTTATTTTACCTTGCTTACAAACTAATAGGTTAACTTATTATCATTTCATGAATCCTGGAAGAAAAGGAGACATAGAGTTTGCAGCCCACAACTCCATAAACACCATATATATCAGTTCTTGCTTTCAAGTCTTATAGAGCGAGCACAGAGGGACTACATGGGCATTAGGAATGCAAAGAGTTTTTTCTACCCTGAGAAAAATATTCCAAGTATCGTGAAGTTGCATAAGATATTTAACATGATAAAGAAAATTCACAGCAAAGAATTTAGAGAAGTAGCTGATGTAAGTGTCACCAGAACTTATAGTCAGGAGCAGGGAATCACAGAATTTTGAGGTAATCCTCCTTATGCCTTACATTGAGTCCATTAATTACATCTAGTAAATGTCACCTGGAGACTGTGAATAATCTGCGGTCAGAATAGTAAAACACGGGTCACAGTCACTGTTTTTAGGTAAGTGTTCAAAAAGTCAGAGAATCCTAGACCTAGAAACTTGAAACCAACACAGAAAATCAAAATGTTCCATTTGAAACTGCAGGGAAATCGGGAAAACCAATGAATAACTTGTTAAAAACACCTAAGCATCACAGAGTTAAAAGTGTGTTTAAACTTAATAAAGAAACGTGAAGAGTTGCATTACATTGAGTTATATGAAGACTGTAATAGAAGTGAGTTAGTTCAGAAGCGCACAAGCAAGGCAGGTTGGCTTGAGGTAGTGTGAGAGGTGACTTTAGTCCCAGAGAGACCTACTTCTCGTTAACAAAAAGACCCAACATTCCCCGAGGATGAGGAGGATGAGGTGAATTCAACGAATGTGTGTGGTTTGTCCACGGCATGTTTTAACCCTGGCAGGTGTCTGATTTAGGCTACATCTTTTATTATTCAAAGCAACCATGCAGGACAGCATCTACTGTTCTCGTTTTGGAAAATGATGGTTACTAATGATCTCAGAAACTGCTCTAGAACATAGAATTAGTAAATAATTGGGTTGGATTTCAGTGATGGAGTATGCATCCTTTGGCCATGTCCTTTCTGCTGGGCAACATCACAGTGAACCCATTTAGTTCTTACCATGGTAACTTGTAGAAATCTCTCTGGCACTATTGTATTATTATTTTGTACTTGATAATAGGAAGCCATGAATTTATTTTTTATTAATTTAATAGAAATAAACTTCACTTTTTCCCAATCCTACTATGTATTTAAAGTCAGTGCTGTGGTGTTTTTGTGACAAAGACTTTGATGTTCCCGCAGGCGATTTGTATATAGGAGGAGTGGCTAAAGAAACATACAAAGCCTTGCCCAAACTCGTCCATGCCAAAGAGGGTTTTCAAGGCTGCCTGGCTTCCGTTGACTTAAACGGTCGGCTTCCGGATCTCATCTCAGATGCTCTTTTCTGCAACGGACAAATTGAGAGAGGATGTGAAGGTACCAGATCTTTGTTATTACACTACTTAATTCCGACTCAACCTATAAATTAGAGCAAATCTCATTTGCCATCAAAAGCCTAGTGAAAAATGGGAGCCATCACTATAGATCTTGTCATCATCTTCACATTAGGTAGCTCACCTAATTAGTATGCTACTCAGTTTCATAAAGTTTGCCTTATAGCATTAAACAGATACAGATTTAATATGGGGAACTCTGTTTACACAAGTAATTATTAATAAACTCGAGCTCATCCCTACATTCAACAGGATAAAAAGTGAGAATAAAGTTCAGATACCCCAATCTCAGATCACCATTTGATTTGTGTATCTGATAGCAAATCATATATTATCTGTTTTGTGAAAAAAATAGGTTTCTTATATTACCCGAAGCGAATGTACTATCTTCAGAAAGGCACTCAGCTGTCTTCCATCCTTTTATGATTTGATCAGACCAAGGTCTACAGGAACACTTTTTGATTGTTACTTTCATTTTAGATAATTTTCACTTCAACACCTCAGTCTTTTTGAGCCAAATCTCCCTCCATAAATGTAATTTAATCACATTATCATGAATTGTGTGACTGGGTGTGTTACTGCTTCTCCTTTAATGTTGAAAGTAGTTTGATCCATTTTGAAAATTTAGATTTATGAGGAAAATTTTTATGAGAGAAGAGGAAGAAACAAATGTGAATTCCTGTCCCCCAGGAGATCATGAATCACTTCTCAGCCAAAATAATGTCATATTTAGCAATTACCTAAGTCTATGGAATTTTTTTATTTGAAATTACATTTTTTTCCTCTTTAAGGCATCTATTTCTCTTAAAATTTAGCTCAAATTCAAGCTGTTGAAATAACAGAGAATAAGGGTATTAATGGAAGGCTTTGTTGAATCCATTTTTAATGTTATCACTACATCTATTTTTTTATTTCAAATTTTGGCATAACACTTGTAAAATAAAGAGGAAACTCTGAGGGTTTTCTTATTACTAATTTAGTAAAGAACTCAAAATTGTTACATGAATAAACTCTCCTTTGTAGGTGAACGCAGGAATGTGGGTTATAGCTTTAGTTCTTAGATGGTTAAATTTGTGAAAATATACCATTTATCTATCTTTATGGAAAATATACCATTTGGGGGGAATATTGTTCTTCAAATAGCCCTTTCTATAAGTTGCATTTCAAGTGTTTAATCATGCACACAAGAAATGAAGAAGAGAGACACATTGGCAGCTCAATCACCACAAGGTAGAAATTAGGACTCAAGCACAAAGGACCCCCCACTGTTGTCTTAGGATGGCAGTGAATGATCTAAGAGAGGGTGAATGGGAGCAGTATTGTTTACAGAGTATTAACAGCAATAAAACTTCCTATTTTCCAACCTAACTAGTAGGCAGTTTGGTTAGGATACTTAGTTGCAGGTTTTCTTGTTGAGCCTTACAGTACCATCTGACCATTTGAGCTCAGTTTGATTTTTTTTTTTTTTTTTTGCGTTTTTCTGCCCATACCTACTTAGGAAGCTTTATAACTCAATCTTAATAATTCTCCCTTCTTTTTCTTTACTTCTTTACTCTCAAAATATCATATTTCTGTCCTGTTGACCTGATCGTTCCCTAGTTATTTCATTCTAATGTTTAATTTAACCATGTCTATCCTGGATCATCTCAAATAAACCTGTCAGAGGTATAACTGATGAGGTTCCTCTATCTTTAGGATTTTCAATTAAATTGTACATATCGAACACATTATCTCACCAAAAACAGTTGTCTTATGGAATTTAAATCCTCGTCACACTGGAATCACGTAACATCCATGTTAATAGAAGTAGCATGTATTTGATGTTTCTACATAATAGCTTGTCAAGGCTTTCCATCATTCTTACCTAACAAGACTTCCCAAACTCTATGTCCCTGGTATACAAAAAGTTCTTAATCTTCCCTCCAATAACCACTTCACACATTTCATTTCTAGCGTATTTCAGTGGACACTAGTTGATTTATTTATAAAAGACTTCTTAGCCAGGGAAGGTGCCTGTCCTTCCTGTCAAGTCCCATCTGTAGACTGATGCTTCTCAGACTTCAGCCTATATTGGACACTTTTGGAGAACTATTAAAGCCCAAATTAGCAGGAACACTAGGACTTCAGATTCAGAAGGTCTGGGATAGGCCCTTAGAATCTACATTTCTAACAAGTTTCCAAATTATGACTATGCTAGAGAGCCAACACATTGAAAATTTTTCTGCATACATAACAAAAATAGAGACTGAAAAAAACCAATAGTCTTATTAAACTCGAGATAATTTCTCCACAAAAAAGTCATCAAAATTTTCGTAAGATTTCTGTAGACCCAGACACTCTACCTTAAGTGTTTTATGAGTAGCAGCAAAGCTTGTCTAGTTATATTAGCTCTTATTAATTAGGCAAAAGTGGCAATAACTTTACATGTGCCATCTTAGTTAATCCTCAAAACACTATAAATTATGCATGACTACCTTTTTCCTAGATGGGAAAACTGAGCCTCAGAGAAATAAAATGACATTTATAAGATTACATAAGTAGATGAGAGTGTACTTGAAAGCCCAGGCTTCTAAACAAACATTCCTCCATGGTTCCTTAGGTTCACAGATATTGTAGTTTTGCTTTCATTTTCCTTCCCTTTCAGACATATCCATTTTTAAAAAATCACCTAGTACAAATGTCCTTTGGCTTGTTCCCAATTTTAGTCAATGATAAAAGTCATACTATATAACTAAGGAAAAAAATAAATTCAAGGCTCTGACTTATGCAAATGCCTGTCAATGTTTAAGTATTGCTCTAGAAGGTGAGTACTTTGAAAAATGTGTCTTGTCAGGCGCAAGCACACATTTGCCTATAAAGCCTGAAATATAAAAATATTGTTGTGTTAATGAAAAATAATAAAATTTCTTTGTGCTCTCATAGACAGTTGGCAGGCGTCTACAGTACAGGAAGACTAATTTTTAGGATTGTACTGTTACTATTTTAGAGTCCAGCATCATTGAATGATTACACATCTGATGATTTGGGGTGAGGGAAACCCCAGGTGGTCCCAAGGTCTTGTTTTTTCTCTTCTGTGAGGCCAACCAGAGAGTACATGAAAAGTTGATAAAACAGCTACTCCCCAACATGGAGCTCCTGATACCTGATTTTCATCCCAGGGAGCAAAAGCTGACGAAAATTGCTTTGAGAAATTTGTATTTATTTAACTCAACACTTATTATTTTCAAATTCCAACACTGGGAAAATACCAGTAGACCACTCAGCTCTAACTTTGGAACATGACAGATACTAAACTAGTTAGTAGTTCTCCGTTCTTAAATGCGTACATTGAAAAAAATGTGTTTCATCTATTCTGGCCTCCTAGGCCTGAAAGATTATTGCTATGAACAGCATTTCTTATAAAATTTTTACTGTTGTAATTATTATTATGTGGTTTTAAATATTATTATGCAATTAAGATTTGTAATATAGTGTCTGCATTTGAGAGAATTCACATGTTAGGCTTACTTCAGCAATTTCCAATGACAAATACCTTTACTGAGAAAGTTGTCATAAAACTTGGATTGTATGGTTCATGTTTAAATTTATTTTGTATAATTATCATTTTATACAAAGACTCATTACAGATAATTTTGATTTATTTGCTAAAGAAGGGACCTCAGTGACTGTTACAAGCACCTAATTAACTTGAGGCCCATTTTCATATATTTAGAGAATGTATGTAATTTTGTTTACCAGAAAAGATCACTCGTTTCTTGTTTACAAATTTTTGGGTGGATTATGTGGCTTGTGTTCCCCTTGATCTTTTCTAAATTCTCATTACTGGGGTTTTCAGTAATAATCATCTATATAGAGCTGAGGACAATTATGAAGGTATAGACAACAGACACCACTCTGAAACTCATAAATTTATATATGTAGTCTGTCCATAGCAAGGACGAACACTCCATGCTGAAATATTACAAAGGAATGTTCTCCATGGAGAGTTGCGTTCCAACCTTTTTACTTCCATCCTTACTGCATTCTTCATCCACTTCAAATGATGCATGCATTCTGGTGTTTGGCTGTCACAAGCACAGCTAAATAGCTGCCATTACTGTCTGAAGCCTTAGTTGTAAATGAAAGTCTAAAACACATCTAAAACAAGAAACATACAAAGAAATAATTGTTCTGCTACTGACCATAGTCTACATTGTATCCACACATGACAAAGGGCACTGCATGTTCCTAATAAACAACAGTCATTTCGGCCATCCATTCACATCTAAGAGGAGAGAAATCACAAGCCTTTTTAGTTTTGCCTCATTACGTGTCATTGCCTCAATTAACCATCCTATGCGAATAGACTGTAAACCTCTAATGAACTATTGCTTCCTCATTTTTGGCTTCTCTTAAGATTTATGGCTGTTAGTATTAATTTGTTTGCTACATGTAGCACTTTTTCTCTTTACAGCAGCATGCTTTTTTTTTTTAATCTGAGCGTTCTGTTTGCCCCATTTTATTATTGTTTACTAATATTTAATATATTTTGCTTTTTTATTTTGCTGACAAAGTTGCATTGATGAAAGCTGACTTGCAAGGTAGATAGCCCTGTGTGTATAAAACAAGACTGAAACCCCGTACTACACAACAGAAACCTTAAAATAACATTTTTTTTACATCTGCAGAACCTGTTACTTGGGTTCAGATTTCATTTTTTCCTTCTTCGACATTGTACAAGTAACCTTACATTGTAGTGTAATTTGCATAAAGGCTTTCAGTCTTGAATATGTTTGTACAGTGATTGCCTTCAGTGCACTGATCATACTTTGCGGTTCTTTGTTTTCCAATGTTCTAGTTGTAATTCTCTAGAAACAGACTAGCGTTCCTTTTCCTTGTATGTTCAATGGGGGCATGCCTTTTATGTTGAGTTATTATTTTATGTTTAATTGCATGATATTGTCAAAGCATGTAAATTGATACTTGCCAACATACCTATCTGGAACACCCGGGAATCATGACCTTATCCATAGTCTGTGCAGGAAAGCTGCTGGATCTTCTAAGACATTTTTACATAACTCTGGTTGCTTTGCCAATCTTTATCTCAATGTCATGAACTTACAGTCTCCATTTTTCATGGTGTCTCTATTCATTGGTCAGAAGTTAAGGAGATCCATTCATATTCTAAAACCCTAATGATTACAGAGAAGTATTCATGATTGGATTAGATTACCTGCTACCATGATCATACTGGAAGCCAAGCCCTTGCTTTTATTATTAGTTGGTTTAGTTTATGATTATAATGTATTTGTCCTGTACTTGAAAACTTAAGAAGGCCTTTATGACACAACTACTCAGTTCCTAATTCAGGTGTGTGAACTTTCAAAACTAGTTTGGGCATGTAATTTAAGGTGTTGGCAACTAGTCTGTGTGATCTAGCTCATGTCTAGAATGTGTCAGATTTTTTTTTTTAAGAACCAAGTTTCTTTTGACATGTTTCACAGGGCCCAGCACTACCTGCCAAGAGGACTCATGTTCAAATCAAGGCGTGTGCTTGCAACAATGGGATGGGTTCAGCTGTGACTGTAGCATGACTTCCTTCAGTGGGCCACTCTGCAATGACCGTAAGTCCCTGTCCCATTTGGGCAGCTACTTCCAGCTATTGCTTGATGTCCAGGGTCTAAAACTGTAGTCCTTGAATTGCTTCTGATTTCGCTGTCAAGAATGTGGACATCAGTTGTTTCTGCAGAAAGCACATTTTTGAAATATTCAGGTTTTCTTCAGCAATTAGCGAATGCTATGCTGGTGGTTTATTCTTTGGATTTCACTCATTGTACTTTTCTTTTGTCAATTACTTGTAGGTATCTCATTAGAAAGAACATTTTTCATTTCCTATGTGTGGCAGTTATCCCCTATTTTTTGAAATTTCATATTGCTTTGTACTTTGTAGTGTCTGATTTTAAAAGATTGTGATTAAGGTCTGTGGTTTGTGGGAATGGTTATAGACTTCTTTCCTTCCTCTCTTTCTGCCTGTCCTAAGTCCATCCTTACCTTTCACTTTACAAACAATAAGGGTCGAATTGGTGCTTCAAGTGCTCTTCTCTGTCTTTTGTCCACTTATATTTCCCCTTTAATCTCACAATCATAGCATAGCAATGAAAGATGGCACACAGGCTCCATCACAGCGGTCTCCCAGTCTCTAGTCTATATCACAGCAGTGTAAGAGTTTACTGGAAATCAAGTCTGGTTTCTTTCAAACAGTCCTTCCCGGTACTTCATCAAAATTCTAAAAACATCTCATCTATAACATTTCCTTCTACTATATTAAAAGACTACTCCTGATGAGGCCTCTTGTTTGTAGAGGACAGCCTTGTGTTGTAAATGCTACTGTATGCAATAAGCTGAGTTCTGATAGCATAAGGCAGTTGCCTGAAGAGCTGGGCTTTACAGAGGCTGAACTTGGGTGTGGACTTAAGGGGAACCTAGAGTTTGCTCTCTTTGACCTTTGTTAGTAATTATTTGAATTATAATATCAAAGATAGGGTCAAAATTTAAAAAATCATGAAATTGAATGCTGCCATCTTCAAATATGGTACAATTCACCAGCTGTCACTGATTTCTGTTCAAAGTATTGACTATAGGAAACACAAGCAAAAAATAAAACTCCTCTCTCTGAGGGACTGTTAACAGTGACTGAGGGAAAGGGGGGCCATTTGTCTTTAGCGGTGTAAACACTGGTAAGTTGCCCACAGTCTGGTAAGAAACTTCCCACCCATGCTTGTGCAGACAATGTTATTTACACATAAAAGATATGAAAACAGAAAGGAGATTTGTTGAGAAGGGATTCAGTGGATGAAGGGGTGATAAGACAGTAATAGACAGCATGGAGGAATCAAATTCATTATATACATCTATGACATTGTTAAAAACCAAAAGGACCCTAATATTGAAAATAGAACTTTAGAAATCTTGTACCCATGCACATCTGATTAGCAGTAATTGGACTCAGGGGGTTATTACCAATAATAATAATAATACAAAGACATGAAATTTTGAGGGAAACAGGAGGGGCCAGAGGCAGTTTGAGGGAGGTAGAAGGGGTAGCTGTGATTAAAACACATTATGTTCATGTCTGAAATTTTCAAAGAATAAATTTAAAATGATTTTAAAAGTTTTTCCTGACCATGTTACCATAAATACAGAAAAGTCTGATCTCCGTTTTTGACATCATCATCTTCCATAGAATTACATCGAACTTGGAGCAAAGTATATTCAGACTGCCACTCATTTGCAAACACTTTGTATCTGCAGATCAAATCATTCTTAAAAACAATAATCCCACTGAAAGGTATATAAATAAGTCATACAAAGATAGATAGATGATTGATAGATAATGATAAATAGATGATAGGTAGATAGATGATAGATAGATAGATGATAGATAGATGATAGGTAGATAGATGATAGATAGATAGATGATGATGATAGATAGAAGATAGATAGATGAAGATAGATATAGATATAGATAGATGATTGATAGATTGATAGATAGATAGATGATAGATAGATAGATGATAGATAGGATTAATGGATGGATAGATAGATAGAAAGAAAGAAAGAAAAGGTACGTACATAGGTACTTGATAGACTGTAGACACAATGGGACTAAGTA